GTCTTCTTGTAAAAAACTGAATGCTTTTTCATTGTTCTCAGATCCAAGGGTTTGGGTCTGTGGTCACCTATGCAAATTGGTGAGGCTTTTTATCCAACATTTCCCAGGAAAGGGGGGGTGCAAGTGTTGGGAGGATTGTTCATTGTTCTTAAGATCCAAGGGTCTGGGTCTGTAGTCACCTAGGCAAATTGGTGAGGCTTTTTACCAAACCTTGTCCAGGAAGTGGGGTGCAGGGTTTTGGGAAGTATTTTGGGGGGAAAGATGTGTCCAAACAGCTCTTCCCCAGTAACCAGTATTCGTTTGGTGGTGGTAGCGGCCAGTCCAAGGACAACGGGGGGGAATATTTTGTACCTTGGGGAAGTTTTGACCTAAGCTGGTAAAGATAAGCTTAGGAGGTTTTTTCATGCAGGTCCCCACATCTGTACCCTAGAGTTCAGAGTGGGGGAGGAACCTTGACAGCCTGAGAATGGAATTCAGCCAAACCCTTAACCTACAATCACTCAGACTCCTTCACCCAAAGCATCAAAATCAATTTGCCAAATAGGATTTCAAGGTATCTGTAGCCAAAAGGCACAGTCAAAATTATTTCTGTCTATTTTTACAGAAAGCAAAGTTCTCAGCCAATAATCATATCATACACATAAAACCAGTGCATTAAAATTCAAAGCTGTATCAAAGTCTTTTTGAATATTCTTGTTTTCCCTGCTTTGGATAATCATTGCTCCCACGCACATCTAAAATAATATCAGTAACCATAGTGTCCTGATGGCAGAAATAGTAACAGTTTCTTTAAATAGGATCATGTATTTTTTTAGGCTCCAGCATGGACCAGTTTTAGTCTTATAATGGGAATCTTTGAGAGAAGATCAGCGCTTAGTCATCTTACTGGAGCCCCCATCGTCTTTATTAAGGCAAGTTCCCTCAGTACGATGAGACTAAGAAACAGTATCCTAATTTCCTAGACTGAGAGGAAGGGAGTGGTATCTTTATTATACTAGAGACAGAGAACGAGAGTTTTATAGAAGAAATAGCCTATAATCATTTGCTAAAATCTTTTAGGAAGCCCAAAAAGCAGCCACAAAAATTAAGTTTAAATAGTCTCCTGCTCAGTCTCTTGCAGAATATGCACCCCCCCCAAAAAAAACAAAAAAACCCAGCATAAAAATATCTTGTAGTATTGAAAGTTTGTTAATCTAATTCAGCCAACTAGCTGTCTCACAAAAGCCTGCTGAGAAACGTGCATACTTAGTGCAGTTTGTTGGTACAAAATTTAAAGTCCATTGCCAAGATTTTAACATCTTCCGTTCTTTTGAAGTATCACTTAGGTATTCTTCTTTCATCCCCCAAATGAGGCAATTCATCAGACTCTTACTGATGGAGCTTTGAGGAGAGTCTAATTTTGAAATACATATGGAACTGTGAATCTCTCTTTAGGTAATACAAATAAATCTACTCTCGGAAGTATTGCCTTCTTAATCATCTTTAAATACAATGTATCTATCACTACGACCTGTGACTTCAATTTTCTTTGTTGAAATTATGGCAAGAAGGAGAGAATTTATGTGGGAGGAATTCTAACTGTGAAGGCTTCAAATGGATGATCGGTGAAAGATTTTTGAGGACCACAGCAAGATCCAAGAACAGGGCCTTCTTACATATGGATGGTAACCTATCAAGAACTGATCATTAACAAAAGTCTGGGTATTTTTGGCCATTGTTGGCAAAAATTTGTCAAGCCTTACTTCTGGCACAATAAATATTTGTTGTTTGCCACCCAGTCGCTGGTAAAATCTCCTACACTTCAGGTTCTCTCTTTCTAATTCAAGGCCTGTTAGAGCATGAGAAAATCTTTAGATAGCAACTTTTCTATTCCCACTGAAGAAAAATAAAAATGGATTCCTCACCCCCCCCACACACACACTTTAGTTCTACAAAGAACCACCAAAGGAAAAGGTAGAAAGAAATGAGTCACAAAGGGGGTAAATTGAACTGTTCCTCAAAAGGAGACCATTACTGAGAGAGAGAAAAAGGCATAAACAACATTCAGTACCTTTCATATGACCTCCTCACACTCTGTGCACACAGAAGGAACTTTTAAGTTTGGCAAGTTACCTTGTGTCAGAAGAATATTTAATGACTGTTATATAAAAGTGGAAGTTGTTGCCTTAGGGGAGACCTGTGTTTTCTTTGCAGCTTTTGTTATCCTGCTGTGCCTTCTTCTTGAGACAGCATGTTCCTTCCACAGAGAGCGCCAGCAGCCTTCTCCATGTAGGGGAGAAGTATGTTCCACAGCACAATTTAACCAGGCTGTCCAAGCTAAGATAGCTGGAGCCTGCGCAAAGGTGATTCTGCCAGCTGATTCAAAACAACTTCATATTATTAACTGCTGCTTACAGGCTAACAAACCCTCCTCACCAATTAAAAGAATGCCCATTCTGTTTGGACTGAATGGTATCAGACTGCATTTTCCTGCAATTAAAAGGGATACTTTGTCTGTAAAAGAATTGCAGCAGTCAGGATGACTCGCGCTCTGAATTTTACTACAGCCCACCCAAAAGAGGCCAAATTGAACTTATTCATAAAATCACTGAAGAAGGAAAAAAAAAGGGTGGCAGATATAGCCCAAGTACTGCAGAATCAGACCCGGGGTGAAGTCAATACTACTGGCTTGATGCAAAGCCCATGGAAGTTACTGGAAAGACTCCCATTGGTTTCAAAGGGCTTTGGATCAGGCTGTGTCAAAGACAGAGGACCTTCCACAATCTCAGTCATGCCATTTACAGGCAGCAGCTACACACTGGGGCACAGTTCCTTCCGGAGCTCCCCAGGACACAAGAGTAGTGGCTACACCACCTATGAAAATGCAGCGTACTCTACCCCATGCACTTGGCACTGGCTCAGCTCATTCCTGCTCCTTTGGGGGTGTCTTGTATTCTGGGACACACACAGATCAGTCCCTTCACTCAAGGGAGAAAACCACCAATTACTCTTCTGCACAGATGTACAAGATGGCAGGAGGAGTGCTCTGTGTGCTTGCTCCCTGCAAAACCACATAGCATCTGGGTACAACCTGGCCCAGTATCTGCAGTTAGTTTCCAAAGAGATCCGTCCCCAAGAAATCTTAAATATGTAAGTGCTATTTTAAGTATGCAATAAGCAACGTTAAAGAAAGAATCCTTATGGATTTAATTAACTTAATACTAGTTTAGCAATTAACTTCCCACCACCCCAAATTGCTAATACTTTCATACCAGACCAAATGTACAGCACTGTGTTCTTACCTGCCCAGTTAGTGTTCAAATGATGACCTAAGGCATAACCAATTCTGTATGCAAAAATTTAATTCCAATCTGAGTTGCAAAAATTAGAGAGATACCTGCTTATTCCAAGCCCAGAGAAAGCTCAAAATCTGAATCCAATCAAATTAGATTACAAAAAACAAACAAGACTCAGTCGCCCTGCTGTGAATGGTAACCCCAAGCCAAAGTCTTTGTTTGCCTGGAGAGAAGGTTGCTCAAAAACAAATCCCACTAACACAATCACCAATTAAATATTACCACCTAACTCTTATATAGCACTTTCCATCCATAGATCTCAAAGTGCTTTACAAAGGAGCTCAGCCTTAGCTAAATGATATTAAAGCTATTTCACTTAAAAAAAAATTTATTTCACAACCCTTACCACCCAAGTATCTCACCATCCAAACACATTCAGACTCCTCACTTTCACAACAAACTCCATTACACATCTGACAGAGCCAGCCACAATGCACACCCCACATTCCTCCACGCTCAACTGTGGAATTTTAACTCTATCCACAGGTAACTCAGCATTCATTCTTTATAGACAAATGGGATACAATTTTCAAAAAACACATAAGTGATTCATGCATTCTTGATAATTACACTTACATACACCAGGGTGAAGTCTATCGTTTGTAATTCCTGCATGAGATACTAAGAGGTTACAGCTTAAATTCCACATTTCAGTCTGACATAGAGGATTTGATGTGGGAATTTTCCATGGTTTCTCTTCCCCCAATATAGTTTCCAGCTAAGACAGAAATTTTACCATGTCCAGCAAATTTATAAGTGCAATATTCAATGCCTCTTGACGTACATCTTTTACTTCCGAGGTAACGTAGGGGGGAAAGTGTGAGATAGGATATAAGATTTAAATTGAAAAGGTTCTTTTCATTATTTTTCCCTAAGTTATTGTAGAGTTGCTGGCACTATTATAATTTTTACCATGTTCCACTGTAGAAGTGGCTGCAATTTGATGGGTGAAGTGCTCCAAATATAAGATGCATATGGTTGGTACTTCTATAAAGCTTGTTGAGTCTTGTGAAAGAGGATATATAAAAATCAATGAGTCAATAATACTGAGCCCTTGAGATGGTGCTTGCTGGGCTGTGGAAGGAGAAACATCCTGAAAAAGAGTCCTTCCTTTTTTGTCTCATTCTTCTGCTTTTTTATTATACATTTATCATCTTCTTTTGTTCTCACAGAAGCTCCTCACAATTAGCCTCTCTCTGTGATTGTTCAGGTAAAGAGAAGACACAAAAGTCCTTTTCACTGAGCTTTGAAAAACAGAGTGCGACGCACCGGCATTGCAGAAATTTGCTTCTGTAGCAAAATTGTAATTCTGTGTTTGATGCCATTGTCCAGTGCTACAGAATTGTGATGTCACAAATGCATTGCCACACCCTTCAGAATAAAGAGGCAGTGAGAGACTCTTTAATTCATCATCAAGGAAAATCCTATAGGGCATAGTTTTTTGGCAGATTGATCCGGGTGGCATTCAATCTCCAGGTACGTAAGACAGTCTGTCTAGATGTTCAATCTATGTCTGTCACTGGCAATCTCATCATGCCACAGAAGATTTATGGATGATCACATGATTCCTGATCACATAGCAGCATTCCTCATTTAATGCACGTTATAAGGATGAAAAACCAATGAACAACAAAGTTTGTATCAAGAAAGCTACCAAAAGCCTACCTTTGCTAATGGAGATGGTTGCTGCGTTTGGATAGAAATATCTCACTGCTGATCTGGTCCTGACATTCAGTATGTCTTTAGTTAATTACAGCTAGTCAAATAAAATAACAGAGGAAATTGTTAAAAATATGAAAGATAAACAGATCTATCTCTTCAGTAAGACATTTGAATGTTTTCCCCTACACAAAATTCCGCAAAAACTGTTTCTAGAAGTTGTGGTTGAAATAAGAGTTCAGATTCTGCTCCTAGTTAATGCCAGTGTAAACCTGGAGTTGAGTAACTCCACTTATTGAAGTCAGAGTAACTCCAGAGGAGACACTTGACTAAGAGGAAAAATTGGCCCAAAGATATTTTAAAGGGAGAAGCAAAGGCACTTTCTTCTTTTGAAATGTACTTTTTTTTTATTCTACTAAAGCCAATCAACTTTCTTTTTATTTAAAGACTATTGTACTCAAGTGTATTATGCAGTATATGATATTAACATTGACGGCATACAAAAAAGGTTGAAAGGGTTAAGATTTCAGAGGTTAACCTTTCTGTAGCAATTCTGCGAGTACGTGTGCACTTTAGAACTGCTTACTGGAGCACATGGTTATGTTAGTGGGGAAAAGACTGGACGTGTATTTGTTTTACATTAGTTTCAAACTCCTGCTGTGCAGCATTGCCGCTTGCCCTGTTACTGGAAATCACGGGAAATTAATTTTAGCAGATTTTTCAAGTTCACAAATAAAGTGAAAATTAATTTAAGGTAAATGCTGCCAGTTTTACCATTTTTCCCTTCCCTGTTTTTCTGGTTCAAGGCCCAATTCAGCAAGTGTCACTCACCTGAGCAATTTCCACTCATGAGAAGTCTTACGGGATAGAATAAGAATTATGTATGTAAAGGTTGCAGAATTGGGCCTGAAATGTGTAGTTTATACTGGGTGGTTTGTTACATTTTTGCCATAAAAATACTAAATATGCAAAGCAGAGGAATTGACACTGCAAAAGTTGAGTTTCTTACAGTATTTCCTGACTTTTTTCTTTTAGCTATGTACGCTTAACGGTGCAACAACAATTTTTCATTTAAAATTCCTTTGTTTTTTCAAGACAACAAAATTGAAATTTAATATTTTAAGTCTTCACATTGGTGAGAGGAGGGAGAGTTCATACCTCAATTCCTGAATAAGGTGGACTGAATTCATCTCTTTGCTCATGCTATTGGGCCCAGTCCTTTCAATGCATGACACTAGTCTGAAGCCTGTTCTACACTAGAAAATTAGGTCAGTTTAAAACTAGGTCGCTCAGAAGCATGAAAAATCCATACCCCTGAGGGGAGTTGTTAAGCCAGCCTAAGTCCCCATGTCGACAGCACCAGGTCGATGGAAGAATTCTTCTACTGACCTAGTTACCGTCTCTCCTGGAGTTGGATTATGCCGATAGAAGAACTCCTCCTGTCAGCGTAGGTAGCGTCTACACTGAAGTGCTACAGCTGTAGTGCTGTAGTCTCTGAGTGCAGACATACCCTTATTCTTGCAAGTGGTCTCATTAAAGTACATGAGATTACTCATATGAAAGTCAAAACAGAGAGAAGTTGGACTTGTGTTGGGGACACAGTAGAAACTGGAATTGTGGATAGCTGGAACCATGAAGTAGGTCCCTGTTAAGTTAGGATTAGCATTCTCAACATGAAGGTTTGCCTCTGCACAATGCTCGCTCTCTCTCTCTCCAAATTTAAAAATGAAATCCATTATGTAAGCATGGATAAGGAGGACTTGTGGCACCTTAGAGACTAACCAATTTATTTGAGCCTAAGCTTTCGTGAGCTACAGCTCACTTCATCGGATGCATACCGTGGAAAATACAGCAGATCTTTTTATACACACAAACCATGAAAAAATGGGTGTTCACCACTACAAAAGGTCTCAGAGTAACAGCCGTGTTAGTCTGTATTCGCAAAAAGAAAAGGAGGACTTGTGGCACCTTAGAGACTAACCAATTTATTTGAGCATGAGCTTTCGTGAGCTACAGCCGAAGTGAGCTGTAGCTCACGAAAGCTCATGCTCAAATAAATTGGTTAGTCTCTAAGGTGCCACAAGTCCTCCTTTTCTTTTTGCCACTACAAAAGGTTTTCTCTCCCCCCACCCCACTCTCCTGCTGGTAATAGCTTATCTAAAGTAATCTCTCTCCTTACTATTACCAGCAGGAGAGTGGGGTGGGGGGAGAGAAAACCTTTTGTAGTGGTGAACACCCATTTTTTCATGGTTTATGTGTATAAAAAGATCTTCTGTACTTTCCACGGTATGCATCTGATGAAGTGAGCTGTAGCTCACGAAAGCTTATGCTCAAATAAATTGGTTAGTCTCTCAGGTGCCACAAGTACTCCTTTTCTTTTTGCGAATACAGACTAACACGGCTGTTACTCTGAAACCTGTAAGCATGGATATTCTTATTATCCAGATGTATATTTAACATCCCACTCAACTCTTGGTGTAAATCAACATCTCCATCGACTTCACTGGAGTTAGACAATTTCCAATTTAACCCTTGATCTCAATGGTGTTTTATGGCAGTGAGTACTGCACGTCATTATTTTGTATGTCTATGTCAGGTCTTATCTTATTGTGTTCCTAAAATGTTTAGAGTCCATGCCTGACAGAGAATAAAGTGCCGTTCAGTGAATCACCACTTCCTTGAACACCTAGGTTGTTTTTTGCAGGTTTCCCATATAATTACTGACCATGCGTATAGTTTAAGGCCTGAGACAATCATTGTACAAGGAGGCATAGAAAATGCTAAGATTTTAAACTGGCAACAAAAAGGTCAATTTCAGATGCATTGAGGCTTGGATGTTCTCAAGAATCAAGTTTTCTACAAAAAATCAGTCAGTATTTGAAGAGGCCCTGCAAGAATGATGACCTAGATCAGCTTCTTTGTATGTTTTTATTTTATCATCATTATAGTAAGACACTTCCCATAAGAGACAGGTCACGGCTCTTAGGAAGGTGAACTAATGTACAGGAGAGCAAATCTCATATGGACATATGGGCACACTGGCTGCTGGTGTAAAGTACAAAAAATATATGGAGAGAAATTGGGTGATGGTGCCCCCCCATAAGGCTTTATGGAAACATGCTTATGAATACGACATAACTGGAATATATTCTATGCAATATATGCCATGTAACATATCTATGTAAAGGTTATGACCTAGTGAATCTATTAATCCTTTTTCTATGCCTGTATCATTTTTGTATTCAAAGTTACGAATATTGGCCGTGTACTGGCTTGATTTCTAAATAACCTTAGTAGACCATTTGGTCAGCTCCTGGAGAAAGGAATTTGCAAAGTTAAGTGCCCAATCAAGAAGCACTTCAGGAACAATGCATCTTGGAATGCTCCAATCCACATAAGAAGTCTTCCTGGAGACATTCAAGACACCATGTGGGCATCCAATGAAGTAAGCTTTCATGAGCTACAGCTCATGCTCAGATAAATTTGTTAGTCTTTAAGGTACCACAAGTACTCCTTTTCTTCATGTGGGCAATGGCTTCTGCCTGTAAAAACTGTGAGTCATGCGTGGACATGTGACTTGCTCAGGTGACTCCAGAACTCCATCGTGGAGCTGGACTTTGCATAGGAGAGAGGAGGGGGTCTCCACCCACAAGAGAAAGTCTATTTAAGCCCGTGGGAGACCCCTCCATTTTGTCTTCAGCTGACTAAGGAGATAGCCTCTCCACCCCCAAGGATACCTGAAAGAAACTGGAAGAACAGTAACTACAGGGGATGTGAGTGATTGCTGGACCCAGACTAGAAAGAGACTAGTCTGTAAAAGGAAGTGTCAAGGTTCCTTCCCCACTCTGAACTCTAGGGTACAGATGTGGGGACCTGCATGAAAACCCCCTAAGCTTACTTTTACCAGCTTAGGTTAAAACTTCCCCAAGGTACAAACTATTTTACCCTTGGACTTCCACTGCCACCACCAAACTTTATCTGGGTTCCTGAGAAAATGTAGTTTGGACACGTCTTTCCCCCCAAAATCCTCCCAACCCTTGCACCCCACTTCCTGGGGAAGGTTTGGTAAAAATCCTCACCAATTTGCACAGGTGACCATAGACCCAAACCCTTGGATCTTAGAACAATGAAAAAGCATTCAGTTTCCTTACAAGAAGACTTTCAATAGAAGTAAAAAAGAATCATCTCTGTCAAATCAGGATGGTAAATACCTTACAGGGTAATTAGATTCAAAACGCAGAGAATCCCTCTAGGCAAAACCTTAAGTTACAAAAAAGACACACAGAAAGGAATATTAATTCTATTCAGCACAGCTATTTTCTCAGCCATTTAAAGAAATCATAATCTAACACATACCTAGCTAGATTACTTACTAAATTCTAAGACTCCATTCCTGTTCTGTCCCTGGCAAAAGCATCATACAGACAGACACAGACCCTTTGTTTCTCTCCCTCCTCCCAGCTTTTGAAAGTATCTTGTCTCCTCATTGGTCATTTTGGTCAAGTGCCAGCAAGGTTACCTTTAGCTTCTTAACCCTTTACAGGTGAGAGGATTTTTCCTCTGGCCAGGAGGGATTTTAAAGGGGTTTACCCTTCCCTTTATATTTATGACAGGAAGCTTACTGAAACTGGTGAAGATTTTATCTGTATACAGTTTGATTAGACATAGACATGCATGTTTTGTTTTATTTTGCTTGGTAATTCACTTTGTTCTGGTTTCAGAGTAGCAGCCGTGTTAGTCTCCATCTGCAAAAAGAAAAGGAGTACTTGTGGCACCTTAGAGACTAACCAATTTATTTGAGCATAAGCTTTCGTGAGCTACAGCTCACTTCATAGGATGCAACTTTGTTCTGTCTGTTACTACTTGGAGCCACTTAAATCCTTCTTTCTGTATTTAATAAAAATCAATTTTTTTACTTATTAATTAACCGAGAGTATGTACTAATACTTGGGGGGCAAACAGCTGTGCATTTCACTCTATTAGTGTTAGAGCAGGTGAACAATTTATGAGTTTACCCTGTATAAGCTTTATACAGAGTAAAATGGATTTATTCAGGATTTGGACCCCATTGGGAGTTGGGCATCTGAATGCCAAGGA